GTCTTTGCGATTTTGGTGAAACTCTGTTCAGCGCAAGGCACTAATGCGCACTATGTGTAGCCGAGAGATTTTCACGAAAAAATGCCGGCAACAGCAGATTTTCGACTCAGACCTCAAAGGGGCGTGGCATTATAACCACGTGACATTTACTCCGATCGCCAAAAATTTTATGTTATATTGTAGATTGATCTATATGTTATCCATTCTATGTGTTAGACTTACGATAAAAGTAAAGGTGGGGATACCAGAGAGCTTCAAAGTAGGATGGTACCCCCCCAAAAAAACTGGGTCGAGTCACCTTAAGTGAAATGACTTTCCTAAACAGTAAAAACAAATGACTCCCTGTTTTTTTGTTGTGTCCAGTTGCTATTTCTTTGCATTCTAAGAACTGGCAAAACTCTGCTCTGCATGTAAAAACTCACAAATCTTGTTGTGCCATCACATTTGTCACTTTCTGTTTGTGACCTATCCCAGTAACGTGATCTTTATCATTTCAGGGGTCTCTCCTCTTCCCAGGGGCTTCTCAGTTTTCAAAATGGTGTCAGTTTCTGCCTCCCCATCCCCTACCAAAAAATTGTTTAATACAAGTCATGCCCTGTTTAGCAGAGCCCGGTGGCCCCTGGTGTATAACTTTTGCCTTCCGGCAACTAGAAAATCTCAGATTTTTCATACAAATCATATGCTGGGCACCCTAGATTTCACAGTTTCAGAGCACTGGGCTCCCTTCAATTTTCCTTAAGTAGAGCACAGCCTTGAATTGTTTAGGACAAAGGACAAAATGCAGGCCATCTTGTTTTAAAGCCATTTGTTGGCAATTGCAATAGAGCAAATTTCACGTTATAGTTATTACTTTTGGGTACTTGGAGTGCAAACAAATTTCATCTAGCAAATCATATCAATCATGCAGGTAATAGTACCCTGTTTATAATAAGGATAGACTTGCATGAAATTATATACTCTGTTCATTTGTGGAACTATTAGCAACATTTTTTTGGACTTTGGACTTTTTACTTCTTCATCCTCATATGTGTAAAAATTGACGGCAGCTTCACTTTGTAATATGCTCTGCCATCTCAGTTGACTTCCCCAAGGAAGAGCTATTTTCAGCACATGTGTTGAGCTTGCGCATGCACATCATACAAGCTCTGCGTGACAACAATCTCGTCAACAGAGCCTTCAAATCTTATGGCTGGTTGGGAATGCGCATGACAACTCCAACGAAAGAATAGTAGGGAGGAAAACCGGTAAAAGGAAAATATGTATTATTTCTATATAATTTTAGTCATTTCACCATTTTGCTATTTGGTGTTTTAAACACACCCGCATAACAACACTGAGAACAGCTGCACCACAAGACTGCTTACCTGCAGCATTCTGGGGTGATATTGCACAGCTCACATTTTAGCTTTTTGATTTCAACAGCTTGTTTACCACAGTGCACAGTGAACTGAGTCAAGTGTAGTTTGGTCTGAAATCATACAGATCAACAGATCAACCATGTGACTATGTGTCCCAGAGCTGTCACTAATATTTCAAATTGCCAGGGTAAATGCATCTAGTCAGTGGAGAATATTGAACATCTAGGAAGTTTTCTTTTGCTTCTATTTTATATTTGCTTCTTATGAAAGTGGCCAATGCTTGTAGTAACAGGGGTCAGCTCTAGTGTCTAGCAGATGGATATGATTTTAGAAATTTTCTCAAGTTCAATACTATTAATTACCTAAAACAAATGTCCAATTCTTGACTAATCCTAATCCCTAATGCATGGTACAATATTAATCTGTTATAATTTATGCCCCTTGGGTATACCTACAGGAATTTGACTTGTTTTCTAGGTCAGCAGTCTATTTCCCAACGCCAGGCTCCTTATGGACCTCACAAAGTTGTCTCAGGTACAACATATGCATGAGAACATTGATTTATGTTTTACTGTATTCCAACAAAATATAGCTCATGCACACACAAGGCAAATGAGAAGAGGCACAGTGACAACCTGTCCCAGAGTTTGCCAGGTGAGGAGAGTAACATGGAAAATTGAACCATGCATAACTACCACATAAACCACTCAAAAGCGGACAAAATCAGACTGCCAGACACCTTTACTAGTACAGCTAACACCAGCATGAAAGAACCCATTGATTTGTATGATCAAATTTCTTAATTTGCTTTTAATATGTAGGCGTTTTTATGTGGACACTTTGATAAAGAATGGTGCGATTTTGAGAAGACATGATGCAATTCAGAACAAAAAATTATGCGATTTGGAACATGAGTGATGTCATTTCGGCCATTGAGAAAATAATGTGATTTTAAAGAGAAATCGGAAAGACCGTAAAGCGGAAGTACAAGTGCAAAGGGTTTCTACTGCTCATGAACTATGAAGTTGTAAAGTAACACGTTCCCAGTAAGATCAATCAGTAATCAATAGTTAACTTTGTCATAACTAACCTTAGTGTTCAAGGCAAATCTGTCTCACAGAATGCAAAGTCTTAGAAGACCGAAGGCGTTCAACAAGCAATCAAAGTATTAGTGAAACCTCAAGGAAATATGGGAAATAACAAGGAATCTTGGGAAGGTGTTCTTCAGGTAAGCCAGGCTTAGGCCCCCGCCCGGTTCAGACGCCAAATTATTTAGACCGGCGGGCTGAATTGTAGCTGAACTAAGTTCAAAAGGCAAAAAAAGCTCAGTTAAAATGCTTCCTAAATATGTTATAATAATTTATACATTAGGTTCGGTTCTTAAAAAGTTCGGCGTCTGAATCAAAGCTGTTCCAAAGTCGCTCCAAAGGCGAAATTCCCGGCACTGCTAAGCGAAAAGAACGTAAACGGCTAAGGGCCTCTTCACATGAGCCCGGTTGACAGGGCTGGGGCCCGTTTCTCGAAAGTCCCGATAATTAACGGGCCCGGTAATCTGTTACCGTTTACATTAAAGATCGAGGTTTCAATGGTTTTGCATCCAACTTGATAAAACTGTCAGTTAATGAAACAAAATGGAATAGTTTGTTAGCCAGGACCCGCGCTCTTACTCTTTATATTTCGATTTAAATATTTGATTTCGGGCCCGAAAAGTTACCGGGACTTTCGAGAAACGGGCCCCAGGCCCGGTATATATTGGGATGAATTTCGCCTTGGGTTAGACTACGAGTACTCCCTCATTTTTCCTCAGGGATAGTCAAGAGCGAACGAAACGCGAGCGCGCGTAAAAATCATCGCCTTTTCTCGCGTGGGGTGACTTTCACGCGCGCTCGCGTTTCGTTCGCTCTATAAATATCCCTGAGGAAAAATGAGGGACTACTCGCAGTCTAGCCTTGGGTTCATATGAGAAATTTCAGCCCGGTTTTCCGAGATGAGAAAAGGTCAGAGATCCTAGGGAAGCGTTCTGCGCTAAATTTGAGAAACAAAGCAAACATTGTAGGTAAACCCGTCAACACCAGAGTACTTAATTTTAGGCTTGTTCATGCGCAACCGTCTGCGTAATTGTTTAGGCCTGCTCGGCTTACTTGTGAGACAAGTGCAGTGCCGGATACAGACCTTGAGATAAGGGGGGGGGGGCTATCATCCAGACCCTCCCCTAGATAAGGGGGAGCCCGGTCTCCAAAAACTTTTTTCCACTTTTCGGGCCTCAGTTTGGTCTAAAAATAAGAGGGGGGGGGGGCCCTCCCCTGGATCCGCCACTGACGTGAAAGAGAAATTTCTTCGCCCTTGAAAGTTTGTAGTATTATGGCTGATCACCCCTTTTCAAATTATATCTACTAACAAAAGCACTCTGTGCCTCAAATAAATTTTATTTCGTGTATAACGTGAGTAAAGAGAAGATCATCATAAAAATATAATTCAATACATTCCATTGTTTCACAAGAACTTAAATAAATTATACAATTTGTGAACTACATGTTTGGTTTCCAAAGATAAACTAGTTTTCTTGACGAAGCAAATTTTTGTCCCATTTTCTAGGATTATTAACCCTGACCTGTCCAGCAAATTATTCGCAACTGTACACTTAACGTTAAAAAAAGGAGGTTATAAAAATATACAATTTGCACTTCAATTTCGTATCAAGAGAAAAAACTCTATGCATCACAGAACTCGAGGTTGTTAAACGGCGCATTTGACCCTCTTTATTCCAACGAGTTCAAAAACACGATCCACTATTCTGCAATGCGACCAATCGAATGCATCCTTAGATAAACCACTTATTTGCTAGAACAGTCTCACCTTTTAAAGTAATCATGAAATTTATTTCTGCTCATAAACAACCACTTATTTCTTTACATTTTAACGCGGTTTCTATGGATTCACAAGAAAATGTCTCCGAGCTAAGACCAGTTGCAAAAACGCTGAGACACTCCGACGAAAAGCCGTTCTGTTATATTTAAAATCACTGCTAGACACACATCTGTGAGGTATAACACTGACACTCTCTCTCCCCTCCATTCAAAGTTGTTCCTCCAAGTTTTGAGCATGGCTGGTATAAAACTTTCTAGCTTGTAGGTTTTAAATTTTCTCAATTTTAATGCCTAGTTTGTGAGTACCACATTGCACTACTGACATTACTGATAGTTACAAGGAAAAAGGGGTTACTAACTAGTTCAGAGGTAACTAAGCAGAGATATGTTAAAGAAACTTAACACATACGCAAAAAAGATTTCAAAAAAGGAAACTTTATCATCTCGGAAAACTACATGTTTACACAAATTTTTCTTTTTGGATTCCATTGGTCTACATAGTGACAAGCCAAGCAAAATTAATGACGTGTTAAATGGTAATTATAACTTTCTATGACTGGGAGAACCTTACATGCGCAGTACTGAACAAAGACGATATCGTTTAATGCACCTGTCAATGGTAAGACTTAAGAAGAAGGGGGGAAAACGCGCATCCAGGAAAATTCGTCATTCAAAATTTTCAGTCTAGGCAAGAAAAGGCATCGGAGAATAAAATCAAAATCTGTACCCACTTACTGTGATAGCTCCCCCCCCCGCCCCCCGCCCCCCGCTTCTCTCTCAGCCCACCTTAGTGCTTAACATGTACAGGTGCATAATAATAGACGAAAAACTAAGATGTGGCCGGAAGCAGCCTGACAACCACAGATAATTTCGTTGATTTTGAGACAGCTCATTGAGGATTCTGATCTCCAAAATGCTCCAAAGTCAAAAAAAACACAACCTAACCCCAAAGGATATAATCAATAATGTCTATCAACGGTTACTTAAAACGTTTGGATCAATTGAGTGATCAGCATCTAAATTTTCCTCACAATATCACTGCTTAATCAAACAGAAAGGTCATGAGAGTTACGGAAATGATCACCAATGTCCTGATTGTTAAACAAATTCTCCTAATCAGTGACATGGGAAATGAATGGTGAATACTGAATATGGCAGCATGGATAAAAGTCGAGACGTTTTCAAGTTCTTGCCTTGTGCCTTAAATGACAATGTAACGTCTTCTCCCTTATTATGCCTTTTAAAATTCATTTTATTTTAGCTTTCAACGTATGTAGTAGCAATACAAGAGTATAACAACGATATTTAAATGTGGTTTTTAATCAATTTTTTTGCCAAAAAAGCTGAATGATACTCTTCAAACTGCTCTTTTAAACAGTGATTTTATAAGTGGAAATAGGATGTTGATCATTGATGCGGCTTAAAGGATAAAATTGAAAACTAAACGACAAGTCTTCAAGTTTATTCATCAAAAGTCATCGACACGCTCTGCGTATTTGATTCTTTCTCCCAACCCTATAGAACCAGTTACACTAAATTCGAAAGATGTTTCACGGCTGAAACGAAGAAAACTAGACGAACCTTTAAGGAAACAAGTCATCAAAATAACCAGAAACTTTCCAAATCATGGGCAGTTATACTTTGTTTTAATCGGACCAGCCAATCTGTTTTGAATGTATAACTGCACATGATTGGACACCAATTAACAAGACGGTAAATGATCATAAAGGAGGCAATGTAGACAATTGGGCATGAATGCTATAACACAGATAACTCAAATGGAATTGACAAAATCAATGTGCAGAGTACACAAATTATCGTCCTTACTAATTTTTACACCTTGATTTTTGAGAAATAATTGTAAATCTTTCTACTTTATAAATTTACTACTTGAAAACGTTTTCATCAAGGTACGCACTAAAGAACATCTCACTGCGCATGCCGAGAGCGCGTTCACAGAATAGTTATTTTAAATATTTACTTGCCCTCGCTTTGGTGCGAACTCGTGACGAGATAGTGCATGTGTTACAAACGTATTAGCATTTGTTTCTTTGTATACCGAGAAAATCAAAGTTTCTTCCTTTCATTCACTAACCTTTTTACAGACGAAAACCCTTGTCAAATTTTCGTTTCCGTGATCAAAAACCTTAACAATCTTTCCAAGACTGAGGACCATGAGCATACATGCTAACAATACGCCTTTACTGTAGCGCCCCTAGGGACAATAAATACTATCAACCAAGAATAGCCTAGAGTTTGCAATCTGAAACTCAGTTCGAAATGTCACCAACTCTTTGATTTCGACTTGGGAAGGGACTACGTTTTACATCAACATCTACCTTACGTGCGCTGGTCACGCTATCCCCAGATCCCTCTCTGGCTAAATTTTCGCTTTGCTCACGTGACGCTTCCCTTTCACGTGACAAGGGAGGTAATTTTACTCCAGCTGACGATCGCCGCACTGGATTTTCTTGCTGACTCGTTTCTAATGACGTAACTGACGTAATAGAGTCACGTGGGTGACGGTTAGTGGCCTGCGCTACACTTGAGTCTGTACGGTTTTGTGTAATGGCGTATTCTGGTGGAAGATCTTCCTGGAACGGGCTGTCGTCTGAACCTGAAGCACTTCTAACAGTTACTGTAATGCCGGATTGTGGCCTCCCTTCATTCCGCGAAGCGCTCAGAGCAGACTCTTGTTCTCTACGGGTGCGGCGAAGTTTGTACTCTCGAAGAAACGCTTTTGTCGCTCGTCTACCGGACTAGAGAAAAAAACAGTAGGTAAAATTAGTTTCCTTTCGAGGAGGGCAGCGCTGGACCTTCAATGGTGACTTCACGTACCGCCCTAACAGAGATGGGTCTTTGCACGAAAAGGTCACATGGTACAAGAAGCACCTTACTGGATGGTAAACGACGAAGCAGGACCTTGAAAAAAAGGACATCAGTAGCCTTTTGAAAGAACGGCGCATGTTCGTTTCCAGTCTCCAGAGGATGGGACGGAAAGCACACTGGGAACAACGACGTGAACGACGACATGTATAAATTTGTTTTATTTAGCCGCAAGGAGAGTAAAAAACCTCTTGACCTTGTGACTGATGGTCCTTCTTCTTATGTTTTAGTTTTAGCTGGTCAAACCTGCGCTAAACACTCAATTGTCCATCCTAAAACTGATTGCCTTATAAAGGTTTAACTACATTAACATAAGCCTCAGATTCTGTGTTACATGGTGCTGTTGCAAACTGCTTTAAGGTCAACTTCCAAAATACTTAGAGAAAAAAAAAAACTTAATAGAAGAAAGAAAATAAAGTATCCTTGGAGGTACTTTCAACTTGATATTTCGCAAATTCTCATGACCTACGTTAAAAGATGGCAAACTAATACGAGCAATATGTTTGAAGATACTTACTTCAACGAGGAACTGTTTGTCCAGATATTCCAGGTTAAAATCGTTTGTCTCAATGTAATCAGTATCTATACCAATCGTTCGCTCGACATCTTTTTTCTGTAAGCAAAAANTTTACTGTAGCGCCCCTAGGGACAATAAATACTATCAACCAAGAATAGCCTAGAGTTTGCAATCTGAAACTCAGTTCGAAATGTCACCAACTCTTTGATTTCGACTTGGGAAGGGACTACGTTTTACATCAACATCTACCTTACGTGCGCTGGTCACGCTATCCCCAGATCCCTCTCTGGCTAAATTTTCGCTTTGCTCACGTGACGCTTCCCTTTCACGTGACAAGGGAGGTAATTTTACTCCAGCTGACGATCGCCGCACTGGATTTTCTTGCTGACTCGTTTCTAATGACGTAACTGACGTAATAGAGTCACGTGGGTGACGGTTAGTGGCCTGCGCTACACTTGAGTCTGTACGGTTTTGTGTAATGGCGTATTCTGGTGGAAGATCTTCCTGGAACGGGCTGTCGTCTGAACCTGAAGCACTTCTAACAGTTACTGTAATGCCGGATTGTGGCCTCCCTTCATTCCGCGAAGCGCTCAGAGCAGACTCTTGTTCTCTACGGGTGCGGCGAAGTTTGTACTCTCGAAGAAACGCTTTTGTCGCTCGTCTACCGGACTAGAGAAAAAAACAGTAGGTAAAATTAGTTTCCTTTCGAGGAGGGCAGCGCTGGACCTTCAATGGTGACTTCACGTACCGCCCTAACAGAGATGGGTCTTTGCACGAAAAGGTCACATGGTACAAGAAGCACCTTACTGGATGGTAAACGACGAAGCAGGACCTTGAAAAAAAGGACATCAGTAGCCTTTTGAAAGAACGGCGCATGTTCGTTTCCAGTCTCCAGAGGATGGGACGGAAAGCACACTGGGAACAACGACGTGAACGACGACATGTATAAATTTGTTTTATTTAGCCGCAAGGAGAGTAAAAAACCTCTTGACCTTGTGACTGATGGTCCTTCTTCTTATGTTTTAGTTTTAGCTGGTCAAACCTGCGCTAAACACTCAATTGTCCATCCTAAAACTGATTGCCTTATAAAGGTTTAACTACATTAACATAAGCCTCAGATTCTGTGTTACATGGTGCTGTTGCAAACTGCTTTAAGGTCAACTTCCAAAATACTTAGAGAAAAAAAAAAACTTAATAGAAGAAAGAAAATAAAGTATCCTTGGAGGTACTTTCAACTTGATATTTCGCAAATTCTCATGACCTACGTTAAAAGATGGCAAACTAATACGAGCAATATGTTTGAAGATACTTACTTCAACGAGGAACTGTTTGTCCAGATATTCCAGGTTAAAATCGTTTGTCTCAATGTAATCAGTATCTATACCAATCGTTCGCTCGACATCTTTTTTCTGTAAGCAAAAACGCAAAAAAAGATTTCATTTAATAGATCTATACAGGAAAAGAAAAAAAGAAGGAAAAACTACTGAATAAACTGATGTAAACGCCAGTGAATTTTTCTCACCACACCATTGCAGCTAGGGCGGGACAAATGGAAGTGGCACGAATATCCCCAGAACGGATTTAGTAGTAAGCTAGGGATGCAATAGATGAACGACCTAAACAATGGCCCTGGCCCTTCAAACAATAGCAGGCCAATAGACTACGAGTAGTCCCCATTTTTCCCCAGGGATAGTAAGGCGAGCGAAACGCGAGCACGCGTGAAATAACCCCACGCGAGAAAGGTCAGACGCGGTGGGGTGATTTTACGCGCGCTCGCATTGCAATCCCACTACTATCCCTAAGGGAAAATGGGAACCACTCGTAGTCTTCAGTTGCCTGCGTGCATACGTCTTCTATTTCCTTGCAACAAAGGAAATAGGGGACGTCTGCACGCAGGCAAAGTCTACAGGCCAATAACAACAGATGTATCTGACAGCATCTTGGCTGCAGAAAGACTCTTGGAAAGAGCGCGACTCTCGCGATTGTCATGCGTCCATCGAAGAAAAATATGAGTCAGAAAGAAGAGGACTAGTCTGCTGTCAATAATACGTAGGCGCACCACTTACCTCGACGTAAACTCTTTTAACATTTACAGATAACGCCGTCTAAAGTAAAAGATAAGGGCAGAAACTGCATTAAAGAACAGTTGCAAATCTTATGATGAAGATTTCACTGATAAGTGAAAAGGTATTAGAGATTGCTTATAAAACAAAATGAAGCAACAGACAACACGCAGTTTTCAAGGCTCCGCCACCGGGATAATCATTACTTGCGTGCACATTGATTTCACTAAAATATAGTGTTTCAATGCCTTTTTGTAGCTACAGTTCTACCTTTTTTGGCGTATAGATTACAATATCATGGCTCCTAATTTTATTTCCAGCAGTCTTTGAAGTTCAACACAATAACTAAGAACACTTACAACCTTGAATTATCAGGAGAGCTTTGAGAATCACCAATAACATTGCACGTGTAAAAATCTTTTTTTGTTCACCTGTAGTGTCTGTATAAACTCTCCTAAATGTTTTATCTCTTTCCTAGCATAACCAAGAAATCTCGTTTGTAGATTAACTCCCTTTTTCTCAATGAAAGCCATTAACTCTTGAAACGTAATCTGCAAAACAAAAGTTTATATCAACCATTTTACCCCCAGAATCATTTTGACTAGAGGCAACCAGGCCGTTGAATTCCAACCCCAGCAGTAAGTTGCCAGGTAAGATGCAGGCCCTACAGTATGTAGCCCTATTCATTTGGTATGTATGAACCATACACACCAATCTACTTTCACTTACTATGTACATTTGAGATTTTATTTTCTTTTTAACATGATTATTGTATTGTATAACGCGCTTTTGAACATAATTATTTGCATGGAAAAGGTGCCTTTTAAAATTTTTTATTATTATCTTTAATTATTAATATTATTATTATTACTTGAAAACGCAGTCGGCAATCGACAACCGTAATCGACATCAGAGGGATCTTTTCTTCTAGTACGGACGGGTAACTTTGGAGGTTAACCAAACAAAAACTGTCAAACACGCGGAGTTTTTTACGAATTTTATGTAACCAAGGAGGAGACGAAGCCTTTTTCGCGCAAACGCATCAGCGTGGAAAAGGCTTCATTTAATTAGACTGTGCATGGAGACAAAATGGTTCTAACCTCTCCATCTTCGTCCGTATCAAGTTCTTCAAAGGCTGCTCTGTAATCGGCATCTGGGCCGAATAATAACTCCGCATCTTCCCTCGTAAATTCTACTGGCTACATACAAAAAGGATAATAGCGAGGTTGATTATACCAAGCCTTGCTTCACAATCTAAAGAAAAAACACAACATTACCTGCTAAAAAAGAGTTGTAAAGTACCTTCTTGAAGACGCCTCTTAGTTCCTTTAAATTAATAATGCTGTCCTCATCAAGATTGTTCCTTTGCAGTTCCTACAAGATACAGAGATATCAGCTCCATTAATTATTTCCAATTCTATTACACGACGTTTCGATCGCAAGCTCTTTACTCCATTAAATCTTTTCATGTTAGTTACGAATAATTGACTTTATCATCAGGTTTGATAAAACAGCATCACAGTTTCCTTTGAAACTAACGAACGAACGTAGCTTTCTCTGCCAATCGAAATAAATATTCCGCACGCCTTTTAGTTTATTTCACAAGGAAACAGTTAGCCAGAGTGTTCCTCAGCTGAGTAGAAAAAAATATTGTGACCTCATCGGTTTGCTTTCCCACGGTCTGTAACATTGACGACATTACGAAGTTGCCTTGAACTTCTTTTTGAAAAAGAGGCTAAGCATGAAAGTATGAAGTCTTTGATACGAAAGTGGATTTTTATTCACAGTCAAAATGAAATCATTTTCGTAAGAAAGATTTTGGCCTCAGTTTGAAAGTAAGATTTTCAAAACAAATTGGTGTTTACCCCGCTTGGCGAGAGTTAGGTGTCGTTACAAAGAGCAAGTGTCAAGTGTTAAAATTACTGCATTAGGGACCTTACGATCCGACAACGGCGACGTCCATCAAAAGGACGCTGAAAAATAGACTCCGTATCCTTTCAAACCATTTCGCAATTATCCCAAGTCGCCCAGTTACTTAAAAGAAGGGAATTTATGTTAGAACTGAAGAGACGGGGCCGCACCCGAGTTCAGACAGAGAAGGTAGAATTTATCACCTTGCCGTTCCCGTCCTCAAACAATAACTTAACATTTGGTCATTTCACGTTGTAGTGGTTCAAGGAAGGGCGGCAAAGAAATGTACAAAAAAGCGTGATGCACGTGCAAAGTTGTTGTTTTGCTAACTAAACCTATTGCTTTTTGACGCTGCCGTTGCCGTTGCCGTTGCCGTCGCGTCGTAGTTTCGTAAGGTCCCTGTTTTTTACTTCACACAAGTACAACACAGTTGACATTCTTTGCTCAGTACGTAAAAGCAAGAAAACAGTAATGTCACGAACCGCCATAAATCTTCCAACAGCCTTCACCATCGTTTGATGCTCCTGATGCATTATGGCCTGTTGGTGTTGTAATTTCAGTCTCTGTCTGCAAAGTAATAATCAGCACGTTAGCAGCTTACAAGATTTCTCATTATAAACCTGATTCTTATACAATGAAAAGGAGAAATGATATAAATATAAAAAATATATGATTGAAGAGGTAGCTCATCAACGAAATGGCTCTTATCTGCCATGTTTTGAATCATACTAGAATTAAGAAAAGCTGGAGAGGAGGGAAAATCCGCAATACCTACAGAAATACTAACAACACATGATATCGTGTAGCCGAGTCTGGAATTCTATCCCAGGCCACATTGGTGGGAAGTAAATCAGTACTCAGTCCGACCACTCAGAACACACAATTGGTCATAAGAGTCCCTACTCTAGCATTATTCTCCAGACCAGTCTCTCTCTACATTAAGCAACACACAAGTACCACAGAATTAGGTATATTCATTTCAAAGTTAAACTGCACAAAGATGAAAGCAAGGACTAAACATTACTTGGAGAGCTTGGTGGCTGGAGGCTTTGGAGGCTTATTGCCTTCCCGTTCCGTAAGAAGAGTTTTCATTAGCTCTGTCTCGGTATGTGAATACTGGAACAACAACAAAAAAGAAACAGTTACATATTATAAAAGAAAAAAATAACTACAAAAGGTTGACAAAGCAAGTATACTGAGCAAGGGGCAAGGGAAAAGGACCAAGAGTAACTCATACTTGAATTCATTCTTATTTCCGACTCGCTTAGGAATAGTGCTAGTCAATGATTACAAAATAAGGCCAAAAAGAGCTACAAAATTACTTATTTACACTTGATCAAAATCCACACTTATCATGTAAATGACATTCAAGGATAAAAAGCAACGCTATTAAAACCTGACGTTTTGGCTACGACATTTCACCATCATCAAATGCAAATGAAAGAGACTATGAAACGATATAATATATAGGACACAAAGGTGTGAAACACAACATTAAATTTGAAGAACAAAAGAGTGTAATAATTAAGTGAAAAGTGTGCTGGAATGCAGTTCGTTTGAGTGTTTAAGGTTGGCATTTAAGTCACCAAAAAGTAACACTTCACAAGTGCAAAATATATGCATCATATTTTTTCATCACATAATTTTATTAATTTTTTTCCACTCACCAAAACTATTCCTAGTGTTTTATTATTCCATGTTCCAAACCGCTCTGATTTTTCAAAGAGCTTTGCAAAATCTTCTAGAGGTTGTAGTCGCTTGAAAAATGTGTCTTTAGGATCCATTGATAACCACCACCCTAAAAAAAAAATTACCAATCAACACTAGCTGTAGTCATTGTTTTGATTATTATCTATGAACACTTGTCTAAAATGCCATTAAGGAAAAAAACTGTCAAAAAGATTGATGAGCTTTAGAATCAGTTATTAATGTATTGCTGCTCCACAAACAATCTTGAGTTAAAAACAAACATTGATTCATAAGGAAGCTTAGACTAAAAGGGCAGTTGATGCCATAAAAGAGTGAGGCCCATATGAAGTCTGTATGCTCTTTTTCCTTTAGATCCATGGACAATGGTAAGGCACAAGAGAGCCCGGCATGGCTGGACAGCCACACGGCTAGGCCCTAGCCCAGTTTATGGAACATTTTGCATGAGACCAAAAAGATACGACAAGTGTTAGCTTGCTCCTCACATTCCAAACCACATTATAGAGACACTCAGAAATATTTTATCAAAGTGATGCTATTTTGCTACCCACACCATAAGTACATTAGTTATTTGCAGGATGCAGAAAATTATAAGATGAGTTGAGTTGAGTGGCCATGAGGGACATAGGAGTGTCACACCCGCTGCCTCCTGAATGGTATAATGGTACATAAGAGGGTTACTCTGTAAAAGCATTTTGCCAGTATCCACTCCATATATAAAGCTGAGGTGAGGAGAGACGTACTGTGTGAGGGACAGTTAAACTTGTCTTAACTGGAACAACAAGTGATGTGGCACATGGCCAGGACTTCAGGTCTAAAATCCTGATTCATCATTAGCTATCTCATGGGGAAGTAAATAAAAACAACTGCAATTATGAATTCAAAACTACTCACCATCGAATGCATGAATTGGATAATTGCACAAAAGGCCTCCATCTACATACACATCTTCATAATCATTATTCATTTCACGTACACACTGAAATACACCTTCAAAAACAAAAAGAGCTCACATCAACCAAACTATCATAAATTTTATCTAGAAGACATACAAAAAATATTGATATTACTACCACAATATATGTACTACAGAGTACATTGCTCTTTTATAAAGGAGCCTGCAGAATTGCTTAAACAGCTAGGCCTCTTCTTTTCATAAACAATTCACTGCTTCTCTTCCTGAGTGTTGACAACATTTTGGATGCAAAAATGTAGAAGCTGTACGTTTTTTTATTTTCACAACAAATGTACATAATTGTAGAACCAGATGTTCCACAATCTGCAAACGTGACATGTAACATACAAATGTCAGAACCTGCAACAACAATACTGCTGTCTTGAACTGCCGTAAAGAATGAGCTTGTTTACCTTATGCCATAGGGACACACACTTCGAGGGGGAGTGGGGGAGGGCATTCCCTATAATGGACTATGCAAGGCTGATACAATGCCTGGAAGAAGTTCAGAATTTAAAAAGGGTTGGAAAAACTGCCATTTACATGTAGGTACTTTCAAAATGCCTCGAATCTGAGATATACCTAACAGCTGATCCACCTAAGTACTGGTATTTAACAACAGTTTTTTATGGTTTAAATGGTTTTCAATAAGTTATTAAAAAATAATAATAATAATAACAATAGCAATTCTGAAGACATTAGACTTACCAGGAAGTGCAACAGACATTCTAACAGCTCTTCTTATGGGTGTATTTGGAGTCGTCTTGGGGTGAAAGTACTCCACTGACATCTGATTCAAGTTGGTAACCACAATACACAGCTCTTTACCAAACCGCTCATACACCTGTACATGTAAGTATTTATAACAAAGTGATTCTTTATGCATGCAATTCCTTTNTTTCAAAATGCCTCGAATCTGAGATATACCTAACAGCTGATCCACCTAAGTACTGGTATTTAACAACAGTTTTTTATGGTTTAAATGGTTTTCAATAAGTTATTAAAAAATAATAATAATAATAACAATAGTAATTCTGAAGACATTAGACTTACCAGGAAGTGCAACAGACATTCTAACAGCTCTTCTTATGGGTGTATTTGGAGTTGTCTTGGGGTGAAAGTACTCCACTGACATCTGATTCAAGTTGGTAACCACAATACACAGCTCTTTACCAAACCGCTCATACACCTGTACATGTAAGTATTTATAACAAAGTGATTCTTTACGCATGTAATTCCTTTGCAACAAGACTGCATGGAAATACAATAACCACAAAAAAGTTTGTCAGAAATCCTTGGTTCAGAGACAGTGCGGCAAGTCAATGGCCTTGTCATCTGCATCCTTAACATATCAACCAGAAGGCGAATGTGGGGTAGGGTAAGATGCTACATAGAGTGAAGCAGCAGCAAAGTGCCACTTTAGATGCTGAGTTCCAATCTCACCTCTGGTTCCTCAAACCTGAACCAGTGCTGGAAAATTTCCACTGTTCTATTCTATTCTACTCTGTTCTAGTCGAGTCTAATGTGAGTTTTAATTTCTGTTCAACTTGTCAATGTTTGGAATTAATGTAATTAAGTTAGCTGGTTTATGTCTCAAGAAAATATAAAGAAAACTTAGTAAGACGTTTTGTCTTTTCTGACCATCTGCTAAGAACATTATCAAGGAAAATACACAATAATATCACTGACATCAATGCAAATACTGATGACAAAAATCAAGTCAAAGATTATTATTATTACATCTCTACAAACACAAAATATGGGCATTTTTTCATATTTCAAGGCTGTATCCCTTCACTGTGACATTAAAAAGCTGTTATTGTTGATCGGAACAAAATCACTTTCCCATTGAAAGAGAATGCACTAATCAATGAACTTTAACCTTTTTCCTTTAATGATACTTTGTTATTCAGTTTGCATTTTCTATAAAGTTAAAAACATGCAGAAGATTTTGTACTAAAGTTTGTACTAAAGTGTCGGTGTACTGAAAAATTTAAATTCTTTCTGTTATAAGAAACTTCTTTTTTACCCTATGATAGAAAGCATGTGTAAATCAATCACTCATCACGGAGTTCAAGCACTGAATAAGTTACTTTGTGTGTGAAAACTAGGAAAAAAGGACATATTCATCATCCTAGCAGTTAATAACTGAAATTTCTTTTTCACAGCATTATCTTACACAAGTCACAATACAGTCAAACCCTGTTAATACAGACACTGTTCAAGGCTGCCATAGAAAGTGTCACATGTATTATTATTCCATATTAGCGGGGTTGAATTTAGAGATAATGTATTAATAAGGACTCTCTTTCCCCAGGAACAAAGCAAACTGTCTGTAATAATGAGGGGTCCGTAAAGCGGCCGGGATCTGACTGTAATTTACAACTATTCCACACACCTCCTTAAATGTAATATCGCCATCACCCGTCCGCTCCTTAAGCTGTTCTCCAAACCATTTCAACATTCTCTTCCCTGGATTCCAGCCAAATCCTTTCAGTAGGTTTGGAAGAAGGCTACAATAACCACAAGTATGATCTAACAAAACAAAAATACCAAGATCAAATTACATTGAAACTTATCAAAATTATACCCAGAAATAGCAGCATGGATCGAGACAGCATGGCTTACATGCAAGGGTCTGCAGGAGCACAGAACTTGTAATTGGGTGGCCCAGGGAGGGTTCCAATCCTACCCTGTTTGCTAGCAGGATGTTTTTCTTCATAGTGTAAGGTCCAACTCTTCAGAGCCTTTAACTATAAACACTGCCCTGCATGGTATATAGAGGTTACTACCAAAAATCACTAAATATGTTTTTATGATTAAATACAAGTCCCTGTAAGCTTTTGATTGGCTCACACTGCATCAGCATCATCAAATTACATGTAAAGAAAACTGGTGCTATGTAAATTTCATCATTATTATTTTAATTATTTTTATTATTATTTTATCTACTATGGAAAGCTATATGAGACATTACATGGGAACTGTACACAAATCTCTTAGTTTACACCAGCAGGAGATCACCCTGTGATTAATGGACTTCATGTAGCATCCTATATTCAGGGCAGTAGTCATTTCATTGCTAATCTGCACCATCAAGTTTATATTAATTAAGTACAACGGGTATGAAACCTGACAAATTTATTTCTTATACTTTTTTGTATCATTTTTTGGAAATTGACCATGCAAGACCCAGATTTGATATTTGGTGACCCTCAGAAACAGTCTACTCTTCTACCTATACCTGGAAAATTACATGTACATGCAGACCAGGTCACCCTTTGATGGACAAGACAAAAACCGCTGTATTGCTAGGTTACTTTGTGTAAAAACACAGGTCTTGAATGACATTTATAGAAGTTATAAACAAACACATGGGATATAAAACCCACCAACTAAAATCCGTCTTAAATCCTGTTCCAGAAATTCCCTCAAGTCACTTGAGTCATACCCTAGTGATATAAGTGCTGCAATTATTGCTCCTGCACTAGCCCCGGCTACTCTTTTAATGCTTCTCAAGATGCCAGCAGATTCCAACACCTGTTGATTGAAGTCAGATAAATAAGGAAGACTGTACCATAAATGAAACTCATCCACAGCACCCATAAAAGCACTTGGTAGAATATATATGCCTCTTACAGTGGAACCTCAATATCACAAAGGGCCAAGGGGCAGGTAAAAATTAATGTGTTTGCTATATGGATTTTACAAATAAAAGCTTTTTCAAGGACTGACGCTTACAATACAAATTACCTGTTAACCAGCGTTACTCAAATTCTTGTATGAACAAAATGCATCTATTGAATGGCTGGCAACTTGGAAAGGGCATATATATAAAAAACAGTTTACATGTAAGAGACAATGACCCAGTTCCTCACAAAATAGTTAAACTTTACCCAGGCATAGTTCAGCTACATTTCTAGAGAACTTTTCTAGTCTAAGAACTTGTAAGTGGATTTCTCTGTTTTCACATGACATCACCAAAATTCAAACTAAGAAGCTATTGATTCTCTTGAGTTTCCACTTTCCACTTTTCACTGTACAATGTATTACAGCACCTACCGTGTAGCATGAAAATTTTGCAGGAGTTTTATTTTGGGAATTGGCGATTTTTTGTCGTTTGCGGGAACAAATTTTTGTGGTTCCAGATGACTGAAATTTCTGGTGGGAACTAATTTTTGCGATTCTCTGTTCAAGTAGCAGAATATTTAAGGTATGTTGAGTCAAAGTTCACTCTACTTACATATTTAAGGGAGAATAATATGGTAATCACTGTAATATCTTACTGCACAAAGGGACTGAACAACAGCAAAACAAAACAAAAGCCTATCCCTACCATACACAACAAGTACATTAAAAGCAGAGTTTTTAATTTGACTGAAGGGAGTTAATTTTTGCGGCATTTTATTTTGTGGGTTTTTTTCTGCGGGAACTAATTTTTGCGGATCGAGGTCAATCCGCAAAATTCGCAAAAATTAGAACCCGCAAAATTTTCATGCTACACGGTAGACACCTTTATTGATACAAATTTTCTGTTTGAAAGAATTCTTCTTTTTGTGATAAAGGATGCGAGAATTTCGAAGCTTTTGCAAGATGCTGCATTTAGCTGTCAGATGGGAAAGCTCTCTCTGTATGTGGGTAAAAAACATTACTGAGTTTTTGAGACTTTGCTATCTAAACATTCCTTGTCTCAGAATAAATATTACTTTAATCTTTATGAGTTCCTCAAGTGATGAATTCATGCATTTGTAGAAAGACTCAAAAACAGATGTTTCTGTTGGTTCCGGTGGCCATATTTGTACCCCTTAAAGGGACACCAACATGGCATCTTCATACAAAGTTTTACAAATCTGGGTGAAACGATTTTCCGAATATCTTGCACACAATAGTTTGCATTTTTATTTTTGATGGCATGACAGTGAAAACAGAGAATAAAATCCTTTTGACCCTTCATTCCACGACACTAAGTAATGATAACACAAAATGATACTGTGGATTAAAATTTAACCCTATAAGGTCAATTTAGTAAAAAATTTTAGAGTGTAATTTACCAGAGTGGCTACTGTTTTTAGATGATATTAGATCAGGAGTCACGTAGGGTTTTTGGTCCACCCACCATGATGGGCTACACATCTTGGAACATAACTTCCACTTTTAGTAGTGCTATCTGTTTCTGCTAATAAGCCACTAATAACAATAATAGTAATAGTGAAATTCTTCTAGAGCGCAGCTACACAATCTTAGCGTGCTTTACAAAGGTAAGAAATAACATATAAGAAATTTACAAAACTAAATTAAAAATGATTAAATAAAAATGTTTTGAGCTTTCTTTTAAAGAGAAACAAAGTTTACACGCTTTTAATGTCTATGGGCAAGGAATTCCAGAGAGTAGGTGCAGCTACTGAGAAACGCAGGTTTTTTTCTATATCACAGACTATAATGCACTTAGCCTCGCTTTGAAACAGAGGCTTGGGACAACTTGGAAATGGACCATACATATTTTAACAAATTAAAAAATTCCATTAAAGGTGCTTTGGATAAGGAAATTTGGATTTGGAATGTCAAACCAAATTTTCACCAAATTTTTCAATAAATCATGAAAAACAAAAGCATATTTTGCATAATTTAGATTTAGAAATGTAATAGAAATTCACGTCAGATAAAAGGAATTACAATTTGCCAAATGACGTCCATTTTTGGGTTTTTTCTGTTAATCCACAATCCTTCCAAGGCTTTCTGACTTACAACCCCCAACAATGTTTGCTGAACACTGATGATGTAATAGATTAGATCAGGCAACATTATATTATGATGACCTGGCTGGCTGCCCAAAAGGAAAAAACGGAAATATCATTCTGACATCTACTCACTAGTAGCTTGATGTAAGCTGACCGTACGTATATTTACAATTTTTTTTCTCAATTTTTCCTGTCAGGTGATACAATATTACACCCAAATAATATTAAGCTTATGGAAGTTTTTTTAATCAAATATTTTAAATTTAAAATTACACGCTTGTATTAGTTAACTATGTAGCTAGCCACTTTCATGAAGTGATGATTTCGCAAATAAGAAATTACTAACATGTGTCATATGTGATTGTTCGAGCCAAAGCTCCTCTTAGTGTGAGCTTATGTGACTTATTTTAGTTGGTAAAACTTGTTACCTGACTATACATGTATGTGTATGTCAGTTGAGGACAATGATCAAGTTACGAAACATTAGAGTGTAGTAAAACATAACACTAACTAAAACATTTTAAGAGAATGATCGAGGAAACGATGTTCTTTCGTGGCTTCCTTAATGCGAGGCATCTGTTGAAATTGTCTTCGGAAAGGGTCAAACCGGAAGATTATTGCTTTTTGGAATAGCTAACAGTTAAAATTTCAAAATCTCTATTTTTTTGTATATTCCATAAACCCGTTATAATGCCAATATGCTAATAGCAATTAGCAAATTAGCACACAATGGGTGAAGGTTAAGAACGAAATATCTCTACACAATGCACTCTCAATATCTTTAGATAAAACAGAAATCTCAAGCGTATTTCTCAAAGTAAATGATATAAAAAGTCTTAACAGATAGAACGTTATATTCCTTACCAATTCACTTTGTTTCATAACGGAGGCAAATTTTTTCTTCGAGGAGTTAAGCCGTACTTCATTACGAATGCAACAAATTAATCGCGATTGTCAAAGTTGTTGCTGACATTGAGGGGAATGCGACAAAGAAGACAAAATTCAAATACGCTTCGATCTCTCAGACCTTAAACTTGCGTTTTCTTTCACGTAAAACAAACTGGAAGTAAAACTATCTCTGCGATGCCGAGTAAACAGGCCGTAGCGAAGGAATCTCGGCTGGATGCAAAAAGTGTCATAACAATCAAGGAACTTGAAAACAAATCAAAACAGCAACACGCACTCTACACTGACCTGAAGAGCACCAACATAAGCCATTCCTTTGTTGCCCCCTCCTTCAAAAACCAAATTTTCGAAAGGAAAAGGGAAATCTCTGTACATGTCCTCTTCATGAGAAGTACTCCCTCTTCGATATCTGTCCGTAGTTTCAGCAGCTCTCAGAGATCCTATACTTCCCAGTAATGAGGCCGCTTCGATGAAGTTGTTAGGAAGATTAAGAGAAGTTGCGGATTCTTTCTTGGGTTGTCCATTAATCATATCATATTTTGTGTGTCCGTTCATGTTCTTGCTAATAGGTCGAGCCATGTCCGTGGGTTCGATTTTCCTGCTCTCATGAAATCGTCGAGAACTAGAGACCTTTCTCTGTCGGTATTGCGGTGTAACCCCATTGAGGTTATTTATATTCTCGGTTCTTTGCATAGCCGGTCAGATCTATCCCACAATGCACTGCGGAACACTTGAAGTCATCTGTAAGTACAGAAAGTAGATTACAAATGAAACGCAATATGTAATAATCCATGAACTCAAATTTAATAGCTTCAAACTGTAAACATGCAACGTATTAAGAGAGAGCAAAGAGGATACAACGCGAGCGGTTCTTTTTTCTTGTGTTTGCGTTGAGAGATTTGAATGGAAAAACATTTCGCGTTCGCGTCATTTTAAGGGCAGCCGCGTTGATGTATGACATATTTCATAGTTCTTCGTGAGCAAGTGCACTGAACGAATGAATAGAGTGGATTTCCTGTCACATTGACAGGTTTATCCCTCCGCAACTTTATGAAAGCATCGACATTACCAATCTAAATGAACAGCGAAGTAAACAGAGAAAATGCAAAACATTATCGAACTTGGACACATACATGGATCTATTCAAGGTCCTCTTTTGCCAAAACTTCATTATTTCTCGTAAATTTTTGACAAGCGAAGTGGAACCACAGTGTTGACAAGATTAGAAGACTATTGAACAAAACACAGTAATTCTCACCTGATCAAGATAGAATAAAAGTCTTTTTGTTGTGTAAATAGAAGCAGAGATAAATGAACCTCCATGAGCCTTTAGTCTTAGCTTCAGATAACATTTTTCGTTGCCTTGAAATGCAACACGAAGTAATCCCAAGATCATTCCACACCGACCAAAGCTTTGTGATTAGTAAATTAATCCGTCGCTGAGCCAATAAACACAAGTCTTTGCGAATAGGCAAAGTGTTAATTTGAATGACAACACAGCAGGGTCATGCACAATGGCCTGCTCGTTATGGAACTAATTTTCATGTTAAATGTCGCTGTATGTAAACAAATTGCCATAGAAACTAGGGTTAAAAATGGTATGCAATCAAACCCGGTCTAGGTTTACAAACTTCGGTAAATTGCTATCCGGTCGCTTTAATAACTAACGAAAAGTTAAAGCGCATGCAAGCTAAAAATAATGTATTGTTAGACAAAACGATTTAGTAACAGTCGAGTAATATAAGTACATCATTTTTCAGTTCAAATGACCGATTTCCACAAAAACCAGTTTCCCCTTTGGTATGTAAAAAGCACGCGCTATTAAACAGTTCATTTTTTCAGAGGAACTCACAAGAAGTTTAAAGGTCTAGAATCAAACATTGTCCCCTTATATATTTACATCACATTGCCGTAATTTTGTTTGTAGTAACAATAATTAAGGAACTGATCAACCTTAGCATATTGTACACCATGTTGTCATTAAATGCTATCCATTTGCCTTTTAAACACCCATTCACTAGAAAGGTATTTGCAGCGCGCGATTTCTTTGTTACTTATCAATAACAGTACTGTAAGGTTGCTATGACTTACACAGCAAACAAATAACAATCGATTGGTAATCCATGTATTAATTAATTTCCAACACTTTTTCATGCAAGTTTCACAGATCACTGTCCTAATTTCGGACATTCCTTTGTTCACTGTTCTATGATCAAATGCTAGTATGTCTTGAAAGGCAACACTGAACGAACATAAGGTAACTGAACTGTAGGAGTTCCAGAAGAAGGCGCGGCAAATTTTGAGTGTCATATCGATCGACTTCCAACGGTGTCAAATGCATAAACAAGCCCACGAAAACTACTGTTATTTTTTTAAGCAACTTTTCCCTTTTTTAAATTTCTAAAACTTTTTCTTTTAATTGATTGATTGAAACTTTCTAATCGATTGAAACGATTGAAACTTTCTAATCATGCACCTTTTTCACTTGCTTCTACTATTTGAGAAATCAATGAGAAGTTTCAAAACAAGTTTTCAAAAACTAACCATAATTTAGGATATTCTTTGCTTGAAAACTCAGGCCAAAACGCCAATCAAAATATTCTTTTCGTTTCTGATTTCCAAAATTTACTTTAATTTATCCTTGTTTATTTAACCTGCGGTTTGATCACATCAATTCAGGTCTCTATGTTTAAATTTTTTAAAAGAAAAAACAAAATGGGACGGAAACATTACGGACAAGGCCAGGGGTTAATTTCTAAAAAACTGTGGGGTTGCGTAGGCGGGGAAGTCAGTTTAATGCAAAACTGCATTAGTCAGTCATAATGTGGGTTGTTAAAGTTAAGTTGGCCACCGTGATACTGAGCGGGGTTGAGAAACTAAAGTTTCGACCGCTAGCCCTTCGTTAGAGCTTCTCAATGGCTTATTTACTATATCAACTTTGATTTCAAAAAATCAGGATAGGGAATCTGCTTCGCATGTGGTATTAGTTTGTACTTGAATTATAGTAGTAGACTGTGTACCAAGGAAAAGTACTGCTCCGTGACTTTCATTCTGAACGGTCACAATGTTAGGGTCACTTAGTGGCTGCAGTGTGTTTTTTCCTCGAATTTTTCTCTCGAATAAATCCCTCTTGCTCAAAATGCTCACTGGTAAAAATATTCCTCTTTGATTAAACGCATTGTTTCGTGAAAAATCTGGCTCGGATAACAACAAACGAGAGCCTGAGAGAAGGCTAAAGAAGAAGCCGTCACTTTACCATAAGATTCCTTCAGATGTACACTGTAGAAAGCGTATTAGCTTATTTTGAACATATAGCATATTTATAAGTTTTACATCACCACTCTAAAAGAACAGTTAACGTAACAATAAAAAAATACGTCCAAAAAGCAGTGTGACGCAGGTGAACAAATTATTGTTTTACTACCATGACGTATTTTGTTTGAAAATATTGCGTTAATATATTCCTAAAGGGTAAATATCTCTCTTACTTTTTCCGCAAGTTGATTGCAGTAGCAGTTCAGTTTTTATTCCCGACTTTGGCCTTTACACATAATTCATGTTTTGTGACGACTTTTTCTGGTTATTTTTCACACTGCTTACATATTTTAGAGCTGGGCATGGATGAAATCAGCCTGGATTTTTTCAGCTTCGCAGACGAGGCGTTTAAACTTACCTGGCAAATTACGAAGAATTCTAAATTGGCTGTCTTTGAGATAAATGAACATTTATTTGGGATTAGTTAGATAGATAGGGGTTCATGTATCGATAATAACACTTAGCCACTTTGGATTAGATAATAATACTGAAATAGGTTTTAGCCCTAAAAATGCTAACAGCTTCCTGCTAAGTCAGGAGCTAGAACTGGATTTGATCATTTACCGGAGTGCGGTTTTCATTATGGTTCACGTACGCAAAACGAAAAACGGTTCCCTTAGATAAAAATAAAGCGCAAAAGAACCGGACACACTTCCGCGGGCATTCGATTCTGTTCAGTATTGTCGTTCAAGATTGAGCCTGGACTGCGAGCAGTCTCTCTTTTTCTTCAGATTTTGTAAGGGGAGTGCACGCGCGCGCGAGCGTTGAGCGGCGAAGTCGCAAGACGCGAGAAACGAGGGCGGCAGCCGGCCTTCAGTCACGCGCGTGGTTATTTGCCTGTCTCGGGCGTTTTGCTCGACGGACCAAGAAAAAAAAGAGACTGCTTGTAGTCTAGATTGAGCAAGTATCAGGCTATATAAACATCCGACATATTAACAAAAGAGAAAAGAAACCTTCTTTTGTGGTAATTCTTATACAAATTTTTTAACAGGTCCATTCCTTTTAATTTTAACAATGTAAATTGCTAATGATTCAAATATATGTTATAAGCCTGAGCCGGGTGGGGTGGGGGGCTCCCATATGAATCGCCCCGTGAAAGGGAATACAAGACAGTCTTTGATTCTGGATCCAACGCCATGAATTGGTCTGAATTCTGGATTTCCTTAGTGGATTTCGGATTCTTTGTCAGTGGAACTTAGAAACCCCATCGCACCGTAAGTGGGATTCCGAACTCCTTGAGTTGTCTTCCAGACTCCAACTACAAAAAAGCCCTGAGGATTCCAGATTCCACAAGCTAACTTTTTTTCCCGATTCCAGAATCCGGCTTCCCTCACATGTGGTACTGAATGCTGTATGAAAATGACCGATCGATATGTAACCTGAATGTAGGAATGTAGCCTGCGAAGCGCAGACGTATTTCGGGTCGTCGCTTCGTTTCTCTCCCTCCGAAAGGGTAGCCGATGCGACGACCGGAATTAAGGCTGCCCGTAGGCTAGTCTGCTACACAGCCGTTTTTAGTGTCGTCACGCAGACTCTAAAAACGGCTGTGTAGCAGACTACCCATAGGCTAACCGGAATGCCAAAACCTCAGTTTTACCCATAAAATAATCGTCTGCGTTTTGCTCAAAGAAATACTTTGATAAAATGACAAATGTCGTCCAGTGCTGTGTGGTCTCCCTAAGGGGTAAAAATAAGTCATCCTTTATTTTTATACGTGAATTCTCCCGGGATAATAGGACACACAATGTACCTATAAGATGACCGGACATTTTAAAGTCTTGACGAAAAGACTCGCAGTGTCTGCTGAGTTTTTCTGTTTGTCTGTCTTTGTTGTCAGTCTTGAGCTATTTTACAAAATAAACATTGTTGAAATTGCTGTTTAATCTGATCATGTCTTTTCTTGAACTAAGCTTGGCATAAATTTCGGCTTTGTGAATCAGAGCCGTAAAAGTAATTTTAAACCATTTTGTCGCAAAGTTTTCCTGATCCCATAAAAGACCGAAGTCCAATTAACATCCTCTGGTACTGATTTTGGTTTCATTACAGCACTTAAGTAAAGGCTTTTTTAGCTGCGCTGAAAGATAAACTGAAAGCGATACTCGAGGTAGGTAAAAACTGATTTACATGACTGAAGTGATAAAGAGGGGAATAGATCGAACAGGTGGGAAAACGCTCATTTTCCTTTCGCCTGGTCGCGTTTACTTTGTTCGCCGGAAATTCAGCCTTCCGCTAGAAATCATAAAACTATGATATATATAAGAATTATTGTAACTTAAATATTTTCCTTCCCTTCATTTATTTTTCTTTTAACTGGGCCGCCTATAGATTAGCAGTTGCTATTTTGCGGCCAGTCTATTTTAAAAACACTTTTAATAAATAAAGCTGAAGTTGAAGTTGAAGAAATCATAGCACTCAGTGAAATGTGCGAGTGCTAAAAGTTCTTTTTCCACACTAAAAAAAAGAGAACTCCCAAGCAAAGTTAATAAGACAATTGTTACTACGTATGATACTGCTTTTTGTCTTTCAGTCAGTATGGATTAAAAACTCATTTTCCCCCCTCAGTGATTTAATCAAATGCTTGACCGACTTGACCGTTTGTTCTGAAATAGCTGAAATAGTGCTTCTAAATTAAATTTGCACACATTAATCGGGGAAGATGAAAAGGAGGAAAAGATTACTAGAATATCTCGATCAACACCTGACCGCAGAGAGTACAAGATGTCTTCACACTCAGTGAGATGGGAACGGCGTGGTTTGCATCTGAAGTAATTTTAAAAACTGAAGTCCGACTTCTGACCCGATCACTCAAGCTGAGTTTGGACAGACAAAATTCTCTCACTAAGATGTCGAAGGTTCGAGACAAAGAATTTTCGAGGGGATACATTTCACTACTGAAATGAAATGTGTCCAGGGGTTCGGGAACGTTTTTCCAATTTGGTAGCTGTTATCCACAAAACTTCATCTGAAAGATAGCACTTTTATGAAAATGAACCCAAGCGAGGAAAGAGAAATTATTCCGGAGTCGAGTCCGTGAGCCCTAAATCATTTTCATTATTGTTGCACCCGACTGAGCTAATAAGAGCCTGCAGACTTGAGACGGAAGGAGGTATGGTTAAGATTGTGCGAAGTTCAGAGTTCTTGTCAGCGAGTTAATTATATTGACTTTACATATACAGCAGAAAAAACGCAAAGTTTGCAT